GCTGAGGCCTCATTACCTTCCTTTCTCTTACCCCAGATGCCTCCAAGACACCCAGGCTGTTCATTCAAGGCCCTCACATGTTCCCCTCCTATCACTGCCATGGATTCAGTGGCACGCACTCCTGCCTGTCCCTGCTCCAGATTCCACTCCCAGCACCTTTCCCGCCTTTACATACAGCAGCCACATGGATTCCCATTCAGTTTCCGCTGCTCTTGGAATAAAGTTCTCACCCCTTACTGTGGCCTTCCCTAACCTGGGGCACTAGCCTCATCTCAGCAGCCCTCACCTGTGGTCTAGTTAACCTGTTAACTCATCAAGGCTTCATTCTACCCCAAAGCGTTTGCATGTGTGGCTCCCTCTGTTGGAACTCTCTCCTGGCTGCTGTTCTCAAGGCTGTGTCCCTTCTAGTCATTCAGGTCCCAGCTCAAAATCTCTTCTTAAGAGGTTTTTCTGACCAAGACTTTGCGAAACAAGGGGACTTTCCTTCAGCATACTATTTGTTTCCTTCACAGTGCTTGGCAAAAGTAACAACAGCATCAAGCCACTGTCTCTAGACTGCAAGCTTCCTGAGGGCACGAACTATAGTATCCCCTCCAAAATTCATGTTGAAACTTAATCTCCATTGTAGTGGTATGAAGACACAGGTGTGGAAGATATCCACAACCAAAAACAAATAAATAAGAGGTGTGGCCTTTTGGGAAGTTATGAGGACTCTGCCCTCATCAATGAATCAGTGTCTTATAAAAGGGGTGGAGGAAATTAGCATAGGCTATTTTTTTTTTTTTTTTTGCCCTTCTGTTCTTCTGTTATGTAAAGGCACAGTGTTCATCCCCTTTCTGTCCCTTCTACCACGTGAGGACATCTAGGTGGCACCACCTACAAGGAATGGGCCTTTACTAGACACAGAACCTGCCAGCGCCTTAATCTTGGACCTCAGAGTCTGCAGAACTGTGAAGAATTATTTCTAGAGCTGGACACAATGGCACACACCTGTAATCCCAACTACTCACAGGCTGAAGCAAGAGGAGTCCTGGAGTTTGGGACCAGTTTGAGCAAAACAGTGAGACCACCATCTCCAAAAATTAAATTTATATTGTTTATAAATTACCCAGTCCAGGGTATTTTGTTATAGAAGCACAAATGAACTAAGACAGCAGGAAACCTGCTAATCTTGTTCACTGTTATTCTCAGTCACTGGTGTTGGATGTTTAATAGTAACTCAATAAATATTTGCTGGAAGAAATAAACTTTTTTAGGCAGGGCGCAGTGGCTCACGTCTGTAATCCCAGCACTTTGGGAGGCCAAGGCAGGCAGATGACTTGAGGTCAGGAGTTTGAGACTAGCCTGGCCAACATGGTGAAACCCTATTTCTACGAAAAATACAAAACTTAGCGGGGTGTGGTGGCCAGTGCCTGTTATCCCAGCTACTTGAGAGGCTGAAGCAGGAGAATGGCTTGAACCCGGGAGGCAGAGGTTGCAATGAACCAAGATTGTGCCACTGCACTCCGGCCTGGTAGACAGAGCGAGACTCCGTTTCAAAAAAAAGAAATGAACTTTTTTTTTTCTTTTAAAACAGAGTTTCACTCTGTTGCCCAGGCTGGAATGCAGTAGTGTGGCCAGAGCTCACTGCTGCCCTGAACTCCCAGCCTCAAGGGATTCTCTTACCTCAGCCTCCCGAGTAGCTGGAATTATGGGCACACACACTACCACACTCAGCTAATTAAAAAAAAATTTTTATAGAGATGGGGTCCCATTATGCTGCCCCCCAGGTTGGTCTCAAACTCCCGGGCTCATGCAGTCTTCCTCTTGGCCTCCCAAAGTGCTGGGATTACAGGGGTGAGCTACCGTGCCAGGCCAGAAGAAATGAACTTACCAAGCACTCACTGCATGCTAGGCTCTGGGGACACAAAGGTGACTAAAGACCTACCCAAGCCCTGGCCCCTGGGGACTCATATTCTGAAATAATTGCCCTCAAAGAGTTGAGCAATGGGAGAGCTCTACACAGGATGTTGTGCTGTCACGGTGAGTGCCTGCCTGTTCAAGAACCCCTCACAGCAGCCACACACTGCCTTTTTGTTTTTCTCTACTCACACTGTTTCCTCCCCAGCTTTTGCTCTCACACATCCCTTAATCTAAGGGTGTCCAATCTTTAGGCTTCCCTGGGCCACACCGGAAGAATTGTCTTGGGCCACACATAAACTACGCTAACACTAATGATAGCTGATGAGCTTTAACAAAATTGCAGAAAAAAAATCTCGTAATGTTTTAATAAAGTACGAATTTGTGGCCTGGTGCGGTGGCTCACACCTGTAATCCCAGCAATTTGGGAGGCCAAGACGGGTGGATCACAAGGTCAGGCGATCAAGATCATCCTGGCTAACACAGTGAAACCCCATCTCTACTAAAAATACAAAAAATTAGCCGGGTTTGGTGGCGTGTGCCTGTAGTTTCAGTTACTCGGGAGGCTGAGACAGGAAACTCACTTGAACCTGGGAGGCAGAGGCTGCAGTGAGCCGAGATTGCGCCACTGCACTACAAACTGGGTGGCAGAACGAGACTCCATTCTCAAAAAAAAAAAAGAAAAGAAAAAGTTAGTTTATGAATTTGTGTTGGGCCACATTCAAAGCTGTCCTGGGTCACAAGCTGTGGGCTGGACAAGCTTGCCTTACTCTGAAATGTTCATGTTGTCTCCATCCCTCTCACTCTCAGGACCCCTCAATGCGGAGTCCTTAAAGAGGCATCTGCTTTCCCCTATTGAACGATATGAGAACTCTTCAGTGGCAGATGGGGATGAGGTTGCATTTGCCTCTTCCCAGCCCTCGGCCCAGGGCAGGCACTCAGATGTACTTGGGGAATGGAAGGCATTTTCCAAAAAGACCTCATACCTTGAGATGCCCAGGCTGACTTGTCACTTCAATGCTCCACACCCCAGGCTTCCAGACTACAGCCCTCTATGTGAGGGTCCCTTCTTACTCTGTGGCTTGGGCTGTGACACTGACTAGCTGGGCTATCTTCTGCGAGGCTGTGACTCTGCCCATGCCTTCCCGTGTCCAGCTGTAAAATATGGCATAGGACAGCAACTCTCTAGGGCCCTGAGAAACTCAGCTGCCCCTCCTCCTCTTGCCCCGCCCTAGAACTCCTTGATCCTGAGGCCCAGCAGCCCCCACATGGCCATCTCCAGTCTTGGCAAAGGCGGATCAGACCTAGAGATGCTCATGTTGGGGGTGATAAGGTTAGGCGAGGCCTTGGCATGTGTCCCCGTAACAGCTTTAGCCCACAGCCATATGTTGATGCCTGGAGCCAAGGGGCTGCCTGGAAGGCCCTGCCCTGACTTCAGTTAGCGGTTGTCACTTAGGAAGACACGCAGTGCACTAGCCTTGAATACTTAACCCATCTCAGACTCAGTCTGCTCAGCTGCAAAAGTGCACATCATAGTGGGCACCTACTTCAATGAGTCGTTATGAGGCACTGCATGTAAACAACTGCGCACGGCGCCTGCCTGCCTCATAGAAAGCTCCCTGCGAATGTGAGCCATTCCTCCTCTGAAGCTCAGGAAAGACAAGTACCTTGTCTAAGATCACAGGGTTAGATAACTGCAGAAGGAGGGATGTAAATCCCCCTACTCTACACAGCAAACACAAAAGAGAACTCCCTGGGAGTGAAACCCGAGGGTCAGGGTTCCACATGCTGTTGACCTCTTCCACAGTTGGCACTTCACCTGAGTTTACTAGCTAGCAACTCCGTTTCTCATCAGCCCTGCCCTTAAACAGGACAGGAGTCACGTCTTCCCCCTCCCCTACTTCTTGGGCAAGCAAACTAACCGCCAAGGCATTGAATACCAGCCTGGGTCTCCGCCCCAAAGGGGCTCAGGCTACCGCGTGGCAGAGGGAACCAGAGGGCGAAGAACAGGAGCAAGACAAAACGCGGAGTTCGGGAGGCCAGGACACCGGCCCTTCCATGGCTCGGTGCTCTCGGCCAGTTCCCGGCCCTTCTCAGCCTCAGTCTTCCACGGTTCCCCAAGACACGGGAGTTCCCAAGGCGGCTCCAGCAGGACTTTTCGCTTCTGGGGAAGGTGGCGCCCCTGCTACCCGGACCCTCCCACCATGCTGACAAGGGTCGCAATCCTGCGAGTGTCAGGAAACCCCCACTGACTGGTGCGAGGAGGGTGTGGGGGCGAGGCGGGAGTCGGCCCAAGGTCGCGCGGCTGGACCCTGGCCCGCTTTAGGGCGGGGTCCCCCTCGTTCCTAGGGTGAGGACTGGGCCCACAGAGAGGCACTGACCGGGCTCGAGCGGCGGCCCCGCTGCCTCCGCCTCCGTCCTCATGACCCGGGCGGCGCGGGGCGCCCATGGCCCCGGCCCAGAGTGGGCTACAGCTTCCGCTTCGGCTAGGACGGGAGGGCGGTCGGTGCGTATCGAGTTCCTCCGCCGCCACCGCCGCCGCTGCGTTGGGGAGAACTGGAGGCGGCGGCTCGGCCGCCTCAGGGCCCGCCCCGGCCGTTCCAGGTCTCGAATCTGGAGGCCTCGCCTCTTCTATAAGCCCCGCCCCAAACTTTGATTCTAGACGCCCCCAGCCTCCCAATTTAAGCCCGCCCCGGCTATTTGCCGCCTCTGCGTCGGGTGGCCCCGCCCCGTCGCCCAATCCTGCGTAGACGCGCTGCCCACCAGGACACGGGCCCCGGAAGCCCCGCCCCTTCCCTTGAGCCCCGCCCCGAATTTCGTGCGCTTAATGTACAGATGCTGCCCAGAGGCTCGTCCCTTCAGCAAGCTCCGCCTCTCCCGTGTCCCGCTCCTTTGCAGCCTTAGGTGTAAGCACCGGTCCCGCCCAATGAATGCATTGCCGAAGCGCCAAACAACTCTCTTCCAACTGCCTTTACGGATGATGCTGAGCCGGCCGCTGCCCTACTCTATACCTAATTTTATCCGTACGAGATACCTCGCCTCGCTCAGGGCGCGCCTTACCTGGCGGTGCCGGGATCAAAAAATTAAATTGTGAGGGGGAAGTCCTGGCCCTTGGCCCAACCTCCTGCTGCTCCGGGTCTGAGGGCCCAGGCCCCGGGTCTCCGCCATGCCGTCCAGCCTGTCCTTGGTGTGGGGTACTTGGAAGTGCGAGTACCCTCTCCTGCTCCTTGCCGGCCCAAGGGTCGTTGTTTCCGGCGGCCCCCGGGCTCAGTTATCAGCCGTCTCTTCCGGTGCCGGAACTATCGTAGCGGTGCCCTAGTTTCCCAGCCGGCGGGCGCAGTGAAGAGGAAGCGGAGACGAGACCGCGCTCACCAGTGGGGAAAGGAAGGAGGTGGGCCCTGCGCGCAGCATTTTGGGAACGAGTGGAATTCTGGGAGCTAGGCCCGCCATTCACTGAACTCACGCCTTCGCCGTAGACGCTTTTGCTGCCGCACCGAAGAGAAGGAGGCCGGAGCCGGTGAGGCTGGGGACGGTCAAGGGGAGGTCGAGGTTCCTGTGAGGGGCCAGGGGCTGGAGAAAGACTCGCTGCATGGAACTTTCCGGGGCTCGGGGAGGGAAGAAAGCGGGAAGCTTGGGCCACGCAGACATCAGCGAGCGTCGCTTCACTAGCGCCTAGAAGTAAGTTCATTAGCTTCAACGTGCATGCTTTCACTTTTTGTATCTCTCCAGGTCAGTGTTTTTCAAAGCTTCCAGGCAGTAATCTTGAAGTCATTTCTGGTTGAGTATTTCCTTTCCCCAAATCCTATGAGTGCTTTTTTTTTTCTTCTTTTTTCTGTTTTTTTGGAGTAGAGATGGGGTTTCACCATGTTGCCCTTACTGGTCTTGAACTCCTGGGCTCAAGGGATCTACCGGCCTCGGCCTTCCAATGTGCTAGGATTACAGGTGTGAGCCACCGCCCCCGGCCGGTCATTCTTTTAAAAGTTACTTGCATCTCTGCCTTCAGGTAGTGGTCCCCTCATGGTTTCCACACTGTTGGAGAAGTTTTAACAAGTTTCTCTGCTTCTAAGCCTTACATTCTATCCATTTTGTAAATAAATGCTGCCTTTACATTGCGTCATTCTTTACCTATAATCTTGCAGTGGTTCCCCACTATCTTCAGCATAAAATCTAGACTCCTAAAGCTGAAAGCAAGGGATCCTCACCAAAGGAACCTGCCTCTTCAACCTTATGTTCTCCTCTCTTAAGTGTACTTCCGTTCCAACTTTGAGTCGTTGCTTATCTCAATAAAAAGTTCACTGCTTGATTCTTTTTTTTTTTTTTTTTTTT